TTTATAAACATTATTTATCTTTTTCTATGTTCCATGTCCCTTCAGGACATGGACGATCATGGCTTTACATAATTTCCCCTTCTTTGTAACTTTTGCATACTATCTCCTCATCTCCCATCCATTTACTCAAGCCTGTTATATACTTTACTCGCTGTTTACCTCTTGCATTTACTATTTCCTGTAAATCCTAAATTTTCCATTAAATTTGTATATTGAGAAACCCTGGGAACATTGTCATATTAATAAATTTGTGTAAGTATCGTTAGAAAGCTGGGTTTTTTTTTTTTTATCTTAAACACGTTTTTTAATGTAATAGTTTTCTTTATAACGGGAAAAAACGAATAATAAAATAAGCATATTTTACAGAAAACTTGGACAAATTGTAGTATACGATTCTCTTCTATATTTTCCGGTAAATGATTTTAAGTCTATTTAAAATTTTTCACTGTTCCTAATATGTTTCTCTATAGCTTGATACTTTTTAAACAATATAAAAAAAAAAAAATCAACCAAGTTATTACAAAAGAACACAAATCTCTCACAAACAACATAAAGAATAAAAACTGTTTATCACATTCGTAATGTATACAATTTAAATTATTAAGCTTATTTGCCAATTATTAATATTTAGTTATGTCTGTGTCTGGCTGATGATCACGCCATCTCTCAATTGTTTCGATTTTGTGCTTCTTGCTTATCTTCCAGTGTTATATATATATGTCGCTAGCTTTTATGATAATATCAGGTCTGTTGGTTTTTATTTCCCTGTCAGTTTGAATTGGCAAATCATACTTACATCGTTATTTTGGGTAATTGTGTCTGGCTGATGATCACACCATCTCTCAGTAGTTTCGATTTTGTGCTTCTTGCTTATCTTCCAGTGCACATATGTCGCTACTTTGGGTGTATTCATTTTTTGCTAGTTCCGGACATCCTGAGATCATATGGCCGGCCTATTCATCATATTTTAAGCAGATCCTGCATTTCGGGTTAGTTCCATCTTTGATTATGTGACAGTGATAGGATCTGATTGCGAGGCTTTGGTCCTGAGCTGCGATAATTACGCCTTCTGTCTCAGCTTTCAACCCGGTGCTCCTCGGTCATTGATATTTTCTATGGCCCACCATTGCTTCCTTCGTTTTTTTCAGCTATTTGCCATGCAACGCCTTGTCCTCCCAGGTTTTTTTTGCAATTTCATTTGGCCAAATTGTTTTGCTTTCTGTTTTATTCGTTTGGCGCAGATGGTATTCGCTTCGTTTTTTGTTGGTAGGATTTCATGTATATTAAGCTGTTTCCTGAAGAGTGCATCTTCTTTTTTGATGGAGTGAATTTGATGTTTTACTATTTGTAGGAGAGGCTCATTGGTTTTTGTGAGGTATGCTTCCAATCCGACTGTTGTAGTTTTTAGAGTTAGTTCCACTTTGGATTAGACATTGGTCTCCTAATGCTCTTGGTACGTAGAACCTATCAACATCTGATTTCGGCTTGTGTATCCTCATTTGGGTAAGTCATTTTCTGATTGTTGCGTCCAATCTCTTAATGTCATTCAATTTCCAATTGATAATGTATATTGTATATTATTGTATGTTATTACGAGTATAGCTAAGGTATTGATAGCCTTCATTTTATTGGCCACATTAAGTTTGCTTTCTTGTATCAAACGCACTCTTCTATAAAACGGATCTTTTTCTTCCTAATTGAATGTTGTATTCCGTCTCTTTCATTAATTCCTAATTATTTGTATGTAAAATTTTGGTCTAGTTCCTTAATCTTGTGGTTGATATCAAGGTGCAAATCCGTAGTTTTCGTTAGTTTACCGTCTTTGAAGGTGACTTTGATACATTTGCCGTTTCCGAACTCCATCCTAATATCTCCGCTGAAGGTTTTGGCAATGTTTGCTGGTTGTCATCCTTGACAAACATTTTAAGACCATTAATATAGAATAGGTGATTCACTATTTACATTATTCGGACTATTCTTCTCATCTTTGACGCCATATTTATCATAACGTTTCGGCCGTTGTACGCTCCGGACTTTTTCAGGTGGTTGGAATGTCGAACTGAACCCTTTATTTCGCTCACTGGGGTAGACAATTCTAGTTCCACGTGCCATGTTTTAATGGATGTCAGTTATCAGTTATCTCCTGTTAATTCCCTTCTGCAAGTTCTCCACTGCCTTAGACGGGTATTGAACTTACACTCTTTGGGTCCTGTCACTGGATCTAACTAACACCTTTATCCACTGTGCCATGTATCCTTGAGGATTCAGTTTGCCATTCTATGACTGGTATCCATAGTTACTCTTGTTCAGTAGGCAGCTGATTGGCGCTAATGCAAAGCAGAAGAGTAGAGGTAACACTACATGGAAGGTCCCGCTTTTGATGTTGATTAGTCTCGATGTAAATGACCCGTTTCTATAGCTTATGTTTAGTGTAGTATTACAGTTTTTATGCTCTCCTTTATAAGCGTTGTGGGGTATTCTCTGTATATTTTTAAGTACATCTCTATAGATAAGTGTGGTACACTGTCGACCGCCTTTCTGTAGTCGATCCATGCTATTGATCAATTTCTTTTTTTTTGTTTTCAACTCTTCCAATATTGTAGTATTGATAATTAATAGTCTTGCACTCATAACTTCGTCATTTAAATTTCATTCTGTTCTGCCGTGAGTAAATTGTTTTTGTCAAGGAACTTGTATATCCTCTCGGTTATGATAGAAGTGAGGATATCGTACAGTGTTGATAAGCAGATGATGGACCCACATGGGGCATTTTTCTGTTGGGTTTATGATGATATCATTGTATACCCGTGCGACGTCTTGATGCTAGATAATTTTTTCATCCAAAAATGAGCTATTCGATCTATTCCTGGTGTTTTCCATTTTTTGGGTTTTGCAGATGGCAGCGGTTGTTTCACTAATATAGATATCCGTCCATTTTTAGCACTCTATATGTGTGTGTTGTTCCTGTTGTTGCTTGATCCATGTAGCTCTTTCATTGGGCATTTCGCAGTTTTCGCACATCTTACACCAGAATTCCTCGACTTCCAGGATATTAGGTGTGTCTTTTATATCTATTTTATTTTCTATAGTTCTCGATATAGCTTATTGGCATTTTTTTGGAGATCTTGTTTTGCCAGAAGAATATTTTTCTTTTTTCATAACGACTGATTGTTGTGTGGTAAAAATATCTGATAATAACAAGATGAGAGAAAGTAATCCAAGTGAAATAATATATAACAGAAACTTCAAAAAGTGGAAATGGTCCAGATGAATTAATTCACAATAAAACACTTATCTCAGATCTTTTGACACAGCATGTATGAAAGTATAGCTAAAGAAAGTGAAATAAATCGAACAAATATAATATTTATGCCAGAATAAATCAATGTATAATAGTAACAAGTATTTCATTTAAGAAATATCCACAGCAAAATTGTTGGTGTGGACAGATAGTGTCACTCTTCGATGAAAAAAAAAAAAAAAAAACACAGGGAAAGTAATCCAAAATTAACAATGTATTAGTAACGAGTCCTCATTTTAGATATTTTCATAGAATAATAATTGGAATGGATACCTGGCGAAGAACACAGAAAAATCAACGAGAAAATGGCCAAAATAACTCAAGATAAAATATTAACAATTACTCATTTCAGGTATTAAGATAGAAAGATGTTTAAAAATGGGCAGCTGTAGAAACACTTCGATGAAAAAAAAAACAACAAAAAAAAAACAAAAAAAAACGAAAGACAGTGTGAAAAAGGTGGAAATGAAGCAAAGTACTCATTTCTGGAATTAAGGTAGAAAATTTGAAATTGGCAGCTGTAGAAAAAAATCTATAAAAAACAAAAAGTACTGTGAAACCGGTCGAAATGAAACAACGTATAATATTAACAATTACTCATTTCAGCTATTAATGTAGAAAGATCTTTGAAATCGGCATCTGTAGAAACACTTCGATAAAATACAAAAGACTATGTGAAATATGTCGAAATGAAACAATGTATATTAACTAATTTCATTTTCACAGAATGATGCTTGTAATGGTCAGTTGGAGAAACTCTTAGACTATACCAAGAAACACCGGAAAATGTTCGAAATAATATATAATAATAACAATCCTCGTCTTAGAGAGACTCACAGAACGATGATTGGAATAAACTTTTGGGGAAACTGCGATAAAAAAAAATGCAACTAAATTGCTCCAACTTAATTAAATATTAACAAGTCCTGATCTATGAAATTCGACCAAAAATAATCTTGGAATGTATTAATTATTTCTTCTAGTGTCTTCTTTTTTCTGTTATTTATTTCAAGGGCTAATTTCTTATTTAAATAAAAAAATTATAGAAAGATCGGCTGATACAATGATTGTGCATATAATTTTGGAACACGTTGCAAAGAAATATTAAATTAATTACCTGTATGTTTACTTGTGCATCATTTAAAATTCATGTATGTGTGTACAGGTTTTAGCATATGCCTTAATATTTGCTTATATCATTTTTAACATTTGATCTTGAAGTTGGTATACACTTTACCTACTTTATAAAAATAGAACATTAAGCGCGTCTGTTTGTAATGAAATAAAAGACACAGAATGAATGTAAGCTGTCTTTTTGTAACAATTTTTCTAACAAAGAATTAATAAAAAAAAGTATCAAAAAGACTTGATCAGAGTTTTTAAACGTCAAAATTTTTCGCATTTCTTTATTCGGCTTAAAGACTGGAAAAAATTTTAAATTTGGTTTTCTACCACAGGAAAATATATTCTTTTCTTAAATCATTATTTTTAAACATTGTTTTTATTTTTTATTTTTAAAGTCACCTCTAAGCTGCTATTTTATGTGAATTCGTGACAAACATGTAGTTTTGAAGTTTTCAAGAGAAAAAATTGCTTAGAAGAAAACAATTAATAAATAAAAAAAGGAAACATTAAAAACAAATTTGAAAGGAAGATATACAAAACAGACACAAACAAATAAACAAAGAATAAATGAAAGCAAAAACAAAGACAAAACAAATTTGTGACTAAATCACTCATTCTTTTCTTCTATCTATCTATCTATCTATCTATCTATCTATCTATCTATCTATCTATCTATCTATCTAATTTTTACACATATAAACAGATAGATAGATATATCTGTCTGTTTATGTGTAAAAATTCAGATGAGGAAAATTTTTATATCAATGCATTTTGTTCCTTAAGGAATTTTATCAAGGCAAATTCGGAAATTTTATTTAGTAACCTGAATCTATACGCATTCATCATCATGAGATCTGTTTCGACTGACGTGATTTCTCATCTTCAGTAACTTTATAAATAAATTTTATCAATCTTTCTTAAGCCTTTCTATCCTGTGCTAGCGCACTGAAACAATTCAGGTCTTTCAAGCTTATCGTTTTTTTTAACTAATTGATCATCTAATATAAGGCACATGAGCCGTATAAGGTAGAGGATTATTGACATAGGAAGAAGAGTGCAGTTTAAAGGGATATGTAGGAAAGATATCGTTAACCTTGGAGTTAAAGCGGTTAAAATTATAGTGATCTAGGATGCATCCTCTCAGGAGTTTATTTTACTAAGCAGCTGTTCCAGAAAAGAAGCTGTCCGAATGGAACTTCTTCCTTATTAATGTATTATGAAGAGAATGGTTCTAGTGTATATTTCATCGCGGATATTTAGCTTTCAATATCAGAGCTAGTGGAACTATAGAATGTAGCTCGTCGGAATACGGTGTAATTAAGTTATATTAAGAATTTATTGTTTTCTTTATAACTGAAGTAAAATATTTTATTCTCCTTATAACCGTTAACAAGTTGTAGCTTACAGTCTAATGTAGTCTCTAAATACTTTTAGAACAATAGTTGTTTTGTAGGTCAGCTCAAGTTGGATTATGTCTTCACTACCATTATTTCTGTCAATACAAAGATGTTTAATATTCATCCTGGGATGGCGCATGTTATAGCAAGTCATTAATATTCTTAACATGGAAGCCATTTTTTTAAAATTTTAGCTATAGTCCAATTGATAATATCTAAGCTATAAGTAACAACTGCTATTGTTAGCGAATTTAACGTTATAATCCGATTATTAGTAATATCTAGAATTGCTATTACTTTTCAGTAGAACACTTTTCTAATTTTTTCTTTGTCATATGTTTTTTTTTTTAGTCTGATTTGTGGATTCCTTGATATTTGTTGACGACATCCTGGTCTAACTCTATTATCAATACGAATCTTAATGTTACTGGTCTTCACAAACTAAATGTAAAAATGTTTTGTGTACATTTGTCTAAACCGAACCGAAAATAAATATCTCCACCAGCACCAAAAACAACCATTTTCATTTTTAGCATATAATTTCAGGTTCTTTAAAATAGTTTATTTATATATTTTCATAAAGTTTATATATATATATATATATATATATATATATATATATATATATATATATATATATAAATGAGTAAAAGAACCGATGGACTAAAAATCCACAAGCATTTACTTTTAAAAAGTGCTCAATACAAAAAGTAGATCAATATATTATTATTTTTTTATATTATAAGAGATTACAATAAAACATGATAACATCGCTGCACAAAAGCTTTCATGTTTCAATACTATGATTGTGTTTCTTCAGGCGATAGTATGTAAGGATTACTTACCATTATCTGTAGAAATATAAACATGGTATTGAAACATGAAAGCTTTTGTGTTGCGATTTCAACATGTTTTTATTATAATCTCTTATAAGAAAAATAATAACAATATATATATATATATATATATATATATATATATATATATATATATATATATATTTGTGTGTATATGTGACACTTCAATCCCGCTAGTGACCTGTATACAAGTCCTGATATTTTGCAAAAGCGAGGTCAAGGGATATAGCAACAGAAATATTTGCTGACGCTTTTCGCCGTTGTCTTTCGTCTCTTTGCCGGTCAATACGACTGATTTCAAAATTTCTGATATCACTCTGGCACAAATATCTTCAGTTAGTTCTATCCAGGGAAAGACGCGCGAAGTTAGTATAAGGCACATTGACAGCTGAGAGGTTACTCTTTAGCTTGTCTTTATGCCTAAGTCACTGCTGTCCAACACTGTTCTATTTTAACTGTCAAGCTGGTTATGCATAAAGATTTTAGGTATTAGCCGTATTCTATATGCTAAAAATTAAAATGGTAGTTTTTGATGCTGGTGGTGATGGTTAGTGGTACGGTTCGGTTTAGACAAATGTGCGCAAAGCAATTTTACATTTATCTTGTGACAATCAACCATTCGCCCTTGCATGGTGTATTGCTGCCACATATGGTCTGGAGCCCCTTCTGTTTGCCTCGGGGTTCTTGATAAGATCCAGAGACGGATATGCAATATAATTGGCCCTGATCTGGCATCTCGTCTGCAGTCTCTCTCTCACAGATGTGCCGTCGCCTCTCTCTGTCTTTTTTTTACAAATACTTTCATGGTAATTATTCCGATGAGCTGTTTTCGCTGGTTCCAAGACTTCGCGAATTAAAGCGTCTTACGAGGCTGCCTTCCCGCTCTCATCGTTTCACTGCTGAAACTGTTAAATGTAGCCGTCTCTTCTACTCCAATAGCTTCATGTCTCGCACCTCTCGCCTGTGGAACTCCCTTCCTTAATCCTGTTTCCCTGATAGCTTTAATCTCCAACTGTTCAAATGTAATGTCAATCGACATCTCCAGTTGCCTTGACCTATCCACTATCCTTCTCCTTATCCTTTCCTCTATCATTCTTACCTGCTCTCGCTCCAAATCCTCTGTAACCCCTTGCGTACCAGTGGCTTCCCGCCTTGCTAGGGGTGAAATGCTTAAAAAAAAATAAATAAAAAAAATGAAAAACAACAACAAAAAACCAATAACATTAAGATTGGTAGTGATAAAAGAGTCACTCATTCTTGCAACATGCTCAGTCCAGCGAAGCTGTGACTATATCAGGAAAGTGTCAATGTTGCATTTTGCGAGACTATAAGCACTGAACACCCTTTTGAGTCCAAATGGAACATGTAGAATAAGGGTTCATATAGAATGTCTTATATACAGTATTCACAGATCTGATACCCAAAGCCTGTCTTATTGAGTTCAGTAGAAAAAGAACTAGATTAAAAGTAAGGTTAAAAAAGAACCAGCTTGGAAATTCTCGTTGTTTATTCTCAAGTTTTCAGCTCTCAATATGCCATTTATAGATGTTAATATGAAGTTAGTGTGAAACATTTACATACTGTGCTTAAAAAAAATCATTGATGATATTTGGGAAATCTCTAAAACCTTTGCAGTCCAACTGTATCTACATCATTTTTAATAATATTTCTTTTGTTTTCCCAAACTTACCTTTCTTAAATTCAATTTTTGCATATTTCATCCAAATTGCCTGCCGGTATCATCATTGAACTTCTTGACAACGTTTAAAAAAGTCTAAATTCATCATTTTGAACATATTAAGAAGCAGAAAAAATTCGTTAGAAACGAAGAATACTGAATTGTTACATTATATCCTCTTATATCGCAGTGAATGCTGGATAATCCCCCAAGAGATGAAGAAGAAACTTGAAGCAATAGAAATATGATTCTACAGAAGGATTCTGAGAATTCCGTGGATCGAACATGTGAGAAACGATGAAGTTTTAGAGAAACTGGAAACAAGACGGAAACTTATACGTAACACCAGGAAGAGACATAAATTTCTAGTGCATATAATGAGTAAAGAGGGTTTGGAAAATTTGATACTCGCAGGATATATTGAAGGCAAGATGGACGGAGGAAAAATTACTTAGTAAGCTTAAGTAAATGGATGGTGGAGCAAGATTTAGCAGAGATAATAAGAAGACAATATTTATTAAGAGTTGCAAAGAAGAGGAAACTGTGAAGAGCCATGATCACCTACGTTCAGAAGGGACATGGTATAAAAAGAAGAAGAAGAATGAGCTTGTGTAAATGGGTGGCGGAGCAAGATTTAGTAAAAATAATATGAAGACAAAATTTATTAAGAGTTACAAAGGAGAGGAAATTGTAGAGAGCCATGATCCCGTATGTCAAGAAGAAGAAGAAGGAGAAGAAGAAGAAGAAAAGAATGAGCTTGAATAAATGGATGGCGGAGTAAGATTTAGGGGAGATTACAAGAAGACACAATTTATTAAGAGTTACAAAGGACAGGAAATTGTGGAGAGCCATGATCGCCAACGTCCTAAAGGAACATGACTCATAGAATTTCAAGTTGTTCCTGAAGGATAAGTAACTTATATAGTCATCAGAGATTTTGTTTGCCTAAATTCTGTCTTATTAAGTTAAGGAATAAGAACTGGACAAAGATAAGAGAGAAAATGAATGCAATTTATTCTCAAGTTTTCTGTCTTCAATATGCCATTCATGTGGGTTAAAGTGAGGTTAGTATGAATGTATTTGAACTTTGTGATTTAAAAAAATGATCATTATTGAGAATATTTGGATGATCTCTAAAATTTTCAGGATCCACTTGTGAGGTAAACTTTCAAAGGCATGTATAAAATTCACTTTCATATGTTTAGCTTTTATTAAAATTCTAATCATCATTTTTAAAACATTAAAATTGCCAAGGAGTGTCAGTATTTAAAATAATACCAGCATCAAGGGAGGAGATCGTTCTTTTGATACACCATTTTTTTTACGAATACGAATGTTAAAGAACGCCATTCCATGATTTTATTAGTTCATCTTAGCAACTATAAGAACATAGTTTACATATTTTCTATCCTAATAGGAAGACATTTTTATTTTATTTTTAAAAAATAATCTTTTTAGTAGTAGTGATGTTAATATTTTCCAGGGAGACATTTAAGAGTCATATAATTTTCACCTTTTTTTTTTTTCATTTCATTTGTCTTAGTGATGTGGTAGGTAAAACCTTTCACACAACTTGTCAGTTACATTTCTGTTTCTTTCAGGATTTCTCAGAGAAACCTTGACATTATTTTAGGTGTATAAGGCAGTTGATTGTAACGGGTGTTTTCTTATTTATTGATCAATTGATCTTTCTGTTTTAACAGGATATCAACTCTGAAGGTTATTCAATACTGAAAATATAATTTTAAATATATGGCTTGTAAGCAATTCTTTCAATCATTCGTACCATCACTCTCAAGTTACACCTTAAGAAAAGAGTTATTTAGTACTCTAAATTGTGGTATAGACCAACCTTCTTCAAGTAAACTACTTTATCTTCTTGAAAAGGTCCTCTAGACTAGAAATGTCATAAAATTGTTGACGTATAGGACCAAGGTTACTACAGTTGATTAGAATATGTATTTATTATATATCTCCTGACATGCTGTTCATTTTTATTGGGATATCAACTCTGAAGATTAGTCAATACTGAAAATATAGATTTTATATATATGGCTTGTAAACAATTCCTTCAGTCATTGCTTCTATCACTCTCCAGTTATGCTCCTAAAATGGAGTTTGTTCTATAAATTGTGGTATAGACCAACTTTCTTCAAATATACTAAGATAGCCTCTATATTTATATTCTTGAAAAGGCCCTCTAGACTAATCATAAAATTGACGTATAGGGCCAAGGTTACTACAGTTGATTAGAAAATGTTTTCGTTATGTGTCTCCTAACAGGCTGTTCATTTTTAAAGGGACTCTGAAGATTATTCAATACTGAAAATATAGTTTTTAAATATATGGTTTGTAAACAATTCTTTCAACCATTGGTTCCATCACTCTCCAGTTATGCCTTTAGAAAAGAGTTATTTAGTACTCTAAATTGTGGTATAGACCAACCTTCTTCAAGTAAACTAAAATAGGCTCTACTTTATCTTCTTGAAAAGAAATGTCATAAAACTATTAACGTATAGGGACAAGGCCACTAAAATCTGTTAAAAATGCTTTGATTTTAATTTATGTATGCGTTTTAAAGTAATTCTGATGTGGGGATATTATATCAAGTTTGCATCTCGATATCCCGGTACTTTGATTTCATCCTTTCTGTCTAGTTTGCTTTTTCATTAAATCTATGTTTGAAAGTACCCGAAAACAAAACAAAACAAAAAAATCCAAAAAACAACAACAAAAAACAAAACAAAAACAACAACAACAACAACAACAACAAAAACAAAGCAAAAAACAAAACAAAAAAACAAATCGAAACACCCCCTCCCTCAAAAAACCCCAAAGATAAAATTTGAAAAGTTTACTGATACTATAAAACGAAACGTTCTTACATCGTGTAGAATATTTCTATTTTGGTTGGGGGTCATGAATTTAGTAGCGATGGAACCGTAATTTTGCAATAAACTATTTTCCAGATCCCAAAGTGACCGTTCATCCCCAACGTTTTTACAATGTTATATTAACTGGCCAATTATAATATCAAAATACCTTTTCTTTACTTAATATAAAATAATTCTTAAGAAAACTATATATTATATAGAAGGTACAAATTTTAATTAAGAATACTTTATTTAGATGATGTTAAAATGTTCGTTCTAATAACTCACTGGAATTTATTATCGAATTTTCTTTTAATAGGAGTATATAGGTTCGCCTATCACCCGGTTCACACTCCTCCCAATTCTCTTGAACAGAAGTAGAGGAATAATAGTTAACCCAAAAATATTCATAAGGCTAACAGTTATCCAGATGAATATTTTTGAATGCTCCTGAATTTAAAAAAAAAATGAAAACCTAACCGTGTTTTACTTTTGTTTATAAATACATGTTAAAAAAATAGAATTAATCCATTCTTTCTTTGTAGCATTTTATTTTCGTTCTTTGAAATATTTCTTTTCCTTGCTTTCATTCATTCTCTCTCTCTTTCTTTCTTTCTTTCTTTCTTTCTTTAATTTATTCATTGTTTTGTAGCATTTCTTTCTTTGTAGTATTTCTTTCTTTCTTTCTTTGTTGCATTTCTTTCTTTCTTTAATTAATTCATTCTTTCTTTGTAGCATTTACTTTTCTTTCTTTCTTTGAAACATTTCATTTTCTTTAATCCATTCATTCATTCATTCATTCATTGTTTCTTTCTTTAATTCATCCATTAATTCTTAGTAGCATTTCTTTCTTTGTAGCATTTCTTTCTTTCTTTCTTCCTTTCTTTGTGGCATTTCTTTTTGTTTGTTTGTTTGTTTCTTTCTTTCTGTTTCTTTCTTTAATTCATTCATTAAGTCTTTGTAGCATCTACTTTTCTTTCTTTGTGGCATTTCTTTTTCTATTTGTTTCTTTGTTTCATTCTTTCTTTCTTATGCTCATTTTTCATTAATCTTTCGTTTCTATTTTCTTTTCATTCTCCTTCCTTTCATTCATTCCTATTTTAATTGATTATATCATTGCCCTATTTTGGTTTTCTCCCCACTCCATTGGCTTTTTTCTTACCACTTTTATCACAAAAAGAAAACAATAACAAAACTTTAAATATGAATTCACTCGGGGACCATCTTCTTCCACACAATCCTCACCCACCCTTTGTTCTTGTCATTCCTTTTTTTTTCGACTCTGTGACGGTCACCTTTAAGTTTAGCACACCCACTGACTCTGATTCCCTCTGATTCCCTCTTCTTCAACGTAAACCACCCTTAATAATAGCGAAGTAAATAAATAAATATTATGAAAATGTATATCAAAAATCAATGAGACAACAGATATATAAAAAAAATGTCATTAACAAATAAATAAATAAATAAACAAACAGATGACTAAAATTGCATATATACAGACATTTATAAAGACAATCCCTAACCAGCATCAGTTTAAATCAATAGATTTTTATATTATTTTTCTTTTCCTGACTACGGAAAAAAAAGCGGGGAAAAGAAAAAAAAAATTAACAAGAATGTTTGTAACAAAATATATTTAGTGACGTGGGTTATAGAATTATTAAGAAGGGCTTCTATTCTAAAATCGACGAACATGCACAGGCGACATGGAAAGAAATATCTTGAAAGAAAGAAAAAGAGTTATCCTTCGTGAGGAAAAAATATGAGAGACAGAGAGAGAGACAGAGAGAGACAGAGAGAGATAGGGTAAATGAAAAATGAAAAAAAATCTTAAAAAAGTTATCGGAGAAGAGGTAATGCAGTAAAGGAAAAGGAAGAAAGAAAGAAGGAGGAGGATAAGGAGGAGGAGGAGGAGGCGGAGGAAAGAAAATAACAGAGTAAAAAGAAAAAAAAAAGAAAATAAAGAAAAAAGCATGTTTGTGGTGGGAGGATGTAGCAAAGAATAGAATAATTTTTGCGTTCCTTGCAACCGCTTCCCGATTTTCAACTTTCATATATCAAACGTGAAATTCTTTTCTTTTTATTCCCATCCCTTACATACATTTTTTAATACCAAGCGCTCCAGGCCATTGGGAAGACATGCTGTTTAATAAATACGTTTTTGGTCCTTTTTGGCGTGTCAGACACTGGCCACTTATGAACGGGGATTATAAACAAGGCTTAAGGCCATGTTTTGGGCGGAGGTTCTTTTAAAAGAGTTGGGTGGTAGTATTTTTGTGGGTAGAAGTGGAGGGAAACAGAAAGGGTTGATATGGAGGGAGAGAATTCTATCGGAAACAAGTTTGGCGTTCTGACTGGTGGTGGAAAGCAGAGCTAATTATAAAAAGCTACGCGTAAAAAAAAACAAATTAAATGACTTTTAAATGCTAAAATAAAAAAAACCCAAACATTTCCATAAAGAAACAAATAAGAAAGACTAGCAAATCCATAATGAATGTTTTGTCTTCGAAGCTTTTTTGACTTTTATTAAAATTTTAAATATTTCTTAAAATAAAAGGGAGGGTGGGAAGGGGTGAGAGAAAGAAAAAGAAAGAATTGTAATAAAATATAAAAATACCTTAAAATTTAAGAAAAAAGTTAAAACAATGATTTCTTTAATTTTACTTGACAACATATAAATTAACGAATTACTCAAAGCTTTTTCAATACAAAACGACTACTAATAACGAGAAACTAACCTTCTATCTATTATGTGCCGTGTCCCTTCAGGACTTAGGCAATCAGGGTTCTCCACAACTTCCTATCATTTTTAGGTATTAGCGTTGTTTTTTAATATCTTTTTAATTTCCATTTGTTACAGAAGCACGTTAGGTTGGTTACTCGATGTTTTCATTTGACCCACTTGCCTCTAGGTCATGTGAGTGTTCAATTCTCCAAGTCTACTTTCCTCATTATATGTCCCTGTACATTCAACACTCTCTTTCTGATTTTAGGCATTAGCGTCGTTTTTGTTTCCATTTTCCTTAAACTTCCTCTTTGCTCACAACTAATAAAATGACCTCCTGAGAAAATACTAAAAAAAAACAAAAAAAAAAAACAAAAAAAAAAAATCAAGTATACACACGAACAGATAATTGAAGTTATGAACAAAAGGGAACGGAAAATAACTAAATTATAACTTACTCTATAAACAAGCAAATTAAATTATGACATATTGAAACACAAATGACATTAAAAATAAGTGGAAATCGAAAATAAATAAAAACAAAAGTAATTAACAGTAAAAATGAGACAAACAAAAATAATTTTAGACTGTAAAGAAATCCATCTTGGACTTGAAGGCTAATGTTCTGAAAAATATTGGTGAATTACGGTGATTGATAAATTTTGATTTGCTTTCATTTTCACCCAAATTAATTGGAAATATGCATTTTGCATTAAAAGATTGTAAATGCTAAGAATTTAAAGCTCGAATACTCGAAATGAATTCATTTAAAAACAAAACGAAAAAAAAATCTTCAAGAAAATTTCGCTTAAGAGCCAAAAGTAAACAGGAACTGTAAGTAGATAATTAAAAGTGTAACATTTTAATAATTTTAGTAATAATAATTTTAGTAATAATAATTTTAGTAATAATAATTTTAGTAATAATAATCACAATTTTGAGAATGATAGAAGCAGACGATGTCAACAGGCTGCTGCTGTCAACAACAGCAACAATATTTATTATATAACGGCAACAATAAAAATTTATAACAATAACTTATAAATAGTAAGGTGATCATAATGTTTAATAATAATCACTACTGTTTGGATAAAACATTTTTTCAGTATCCTTGTGGGTGATAAATTATTTTCTACTCTGCAACTTCTCTCTCACAGACGAGATGTAGCAAGCCTCTGACCGATCTATCGCTACTTTCATGGAAAGTACTACATTCCTTTAGTTCCGCCAGTTCTAATCTTTGCGGCTAGGACCCGCCATGCTACGCGCATTGTCGTGAAGCACTCCCATTCCTTCCGTATTACATTGGTAAGATGTAAGTTCCACTCAAGCAGTTTCTTCCAACGACCCATTCCTTTGTGGAACTAACTCCTAACAGGATGTTTTCCCGATCACTACAATCATAACCTGTTCAAGTCTCGGGTTAACCATTATCTTCTCCATCTATCCATATAAACTACACATTGGTGAGAAGTAAGTTCCACTTGAACAGCTTCTTCCCGCGAACCACTGCCCAGGGGAACAGACTCCCAAGAGGATGTTTCCCCAATCACTGCAATCTTAACCTGTTCAAGTCTAGAGTTAAGCGTTATCTTCCCCTCTTATCCATATAAACTACCCATTGGTGAGAAGTAAGTTCCACTCGAACAGCCTCTTCCCGCGAACCACTGCCCAGGAGAACAGACTCCCAAGAGGATGTTTCCCCAATCACTACAATCTTAACCTGTTCAAGTCTAGATTTAACCATTATCTTCCCCTCCTATCCATATAAACTACCCATTGGTGAGAAGTAAGTTCCACTTGAACAGCTTCTTCCCGCAAACCACTGCCCAGGGTAACAGACTCCCAAGAGGATGTTTCCCCAATCACTACAATCTTAACCTGTTCAAGTCTAGAGTTAACCATTATCTTCCCCACCTATCCATATAAACTACCCATTGGTGAGAAGTAAGTTCAACTCGAACAGCTCCTTCCCGCGAACCACTGCCCAGGGGAACAGACTCCCAAGAGGATGTTTCCCCAATCACTACAATCTTAACCTGTTCAAGTCTAGAGTTAAGCGTTATCTTCCCCTCCTATCCATATAAACTACCCATTGGTGAGAAGTAAGTTCCACTCGAACAGCATTTTCCCGCGAACCACTGCCCAGGGGAACAGACTCCCAAGAGGATGTTTTCCCGATCACTACAATCATAACCTGTTCAAGTCTAGGGTTAACCATTATCTTCCCCATGTATCCGGATAAACTTTGTAACCCTTTACCTTGAGAGACTCCCATTCCCTGTACATGGTGGGTCTCAATGTAAAAAAAGGAAAACTGTCGTGGTCTGAAGAGAAACTGATGTCGTCAGACAGCTAACGTTTTATTTTGCATTCCATTTTTTGTGGAGCGTTTAAAAAATTTTAGTAAACGAAACAACCTATATTATTTTGAAATAATTTTAAACAGTAAAAATAATTTAAAAAATCTAGAAAACAATTTCATGCGTAAATATTAATTTATTATAGTATATTTCAAGTAATATATAACTGTAATATATCAATGAGAACTGTAAAGAAATATATTCAAACCTTGGGAACGCCATGATTCTTTCACAGACTGGAAATTGATGCAGTGTAACCCAGATATAAGAGACCCGGATATAAGAGAAATCCGGATATAAGAGAGATTTTCTCTGGTCCCAAATTAGAGCCCGTGTTAATGTATATAAAATAGACCAAACCCGGATATAAGAGAAACCCGGATATAAGAGACTTCTTCTCCGGTCCCGACAACTCTCTTACATCCGGGCTACACTGTATTTTGTTAATAATTCTAATGGTAGGGGATTTGTTTGAAAACAGGTCACAAGTGCACAATTGAGTATTAAAGATGAAAGAAAAAAAAACAACAAAAAACAAAAAA